AGTATGCTAAGTATATACTTTTTAAAGAATTCTACCCCTGGCCACATGATTTCTATTAGGGTACCAAATATTGGAGAGTCATCTATGTCACCTATAGTAAGGCAAGTGTCCTATCATGAGACCAGTGGCTGGCCCTCCTGGGGAGTGTGAGGCACAGACTCAAGGTCAACCACTGCTGGGAGAGAGGAGCTCTTGCAGGTTGTCTGATCCCACCACCATTGGTTTCTTTACCCATGAAAGGACAATCTTACATGGCTCACAGGAGGTTGGGAGAATTCATGAAACCCCGGGGCGAGTACAGTGAACTCCGTGTTCCATCCAGAGGTAAACAGTCTTACAGACCTGGCAGGGAGCTCCTCTGTGGCTTTTCTTGCAGGCATGCTAACAAGACATTAACAGAACAGTTGCAGTCAATAAGATCCAAAATGTGTAAAGCAGTACTGACAAGTTTTCAAAATAGAGATGACATATACGAATACAACTTTGCATGTGTATATAATTTAAAATATGCTAATACCATAATCGATGCTACCTTTTTACGAGTACTGGGGGGTAATTCTTAGAGTTGAGCTCACTTCAAGCTGCATCTGTCATCTGTTGTGTGACACAGTTCACTTAGTGCCACAACTAATGTTCCTTCCTCCTGCATAATAAATATTTTCTTTTGACTATTTGGATCAGTCATGCATATACTTTTGAGCCCTTTACCAAATGATCATTAACATCGTTCTGTGTTATTCTTTTTCTTTTGTTTCCTTTTTTGTGGTGCCGGGGATTGGACTCAGTACTCTAGCACCGAGCTACATGGGAGCCCTCTCTTTTTTCTTTTCTTTCTTTATTCTTTTATTTTGAGACAGCATCTCACTAAATTCCCGAGGATGGCCTTGAACTTGCAATCCTTCTGCCTCAGCCTCCCAAGTCACTGGGATTACAGTGCTATTTTTCTACAAGTTATTTTGTTGTTTGCAGAGTGTTCTCTGCATCATCTAATGTGAGATAGTTACTTAACTAGTCCCACCTATTGAGCCTTGGGTAGATTCTTATTACTCATTATCATAATCCAGCTATGATAACCATCCTTTTATTTATTTATTTATTTATTTATTTATAAAATATTTTTTAAGAGAGAGAGAATTTTTTAATATTTATTTTTTAGTTTTCGGCGGACACAACTTCCTTGTTTGTATGTGGTCCTGAGGATCGAACCCGGGCCGCACGCATGCCAGGTGAGCGTGCTACCGCTTGAGCCACATCCCCAGCCTTTTATTTATTTTTTGAAAGTATTTATTTTTTAGTTTTAGGTTGACACAATATCTTTATTTCATATTTATGTGGTGCTGAGGATCAAACCCAGTGTCTCATGCATATCAGGTGAGCACTCTACCACTGAGCCACTACCCCAGCCCCAATAACCATCCTTTTAAAAATGTTGTACACATCTCTGATAAATCTTTTATAAAATATTGGTTGTTTTCTGATAAAATTCCATAGGATAAATTCTTAAAATAGAATTGCTACATCCAGGGGAATTAATATTAGTTGGGTACTGTAGCTCTTACCTGTGACCTCAAAGACAGGTGGCAAAGCAGGATGATCACAACTTTGAGGCTAGCCTGGGCAATTTAGCAAGACCCTGTCTCAAAAATAAAAATAAAGGGCTGGGGAGGTAGTTCAGTGGCAGAGTGCCTGCCTATCATGCAGAGGCCCTGGGTTTGGCCCCAGCACTGAAAAACAAAAAAACACTGAAGGAGTATAAAGGTTGGGTAATATGTCCAAAACTGTAAGGAAATCCACGCCCTTCACCATACTGAGGATCTTACCCAGGGCCTTACTCATGCTAGGCACACTGAGAAATTTTTTCCCTTCCTTCCTTCCTTCCTTCCTTCCTTCCTTCCTTCCTTCCTTCCTTCCTTCCTTCTTTCTAGGATCTCACCAAGTTGTCCAGCCTGGCCTCAAACTTGCACCCCTCCTGCCTCAGCTTCCCTAGTCTCTGGGATTACAGGTGTATGCCAACACACCCAGCTCCTCTCAGTGATTTTTAGGGGCTCTCAGTTTCCCTTGTCCTCACCAAAATAGTGTTTTATCACTTACCAAAAAAAAAAAAAAAATTGTTACCAAGCTAAGAGAAAGTAAATGGCTCAAGATATCCATTTTCCTCTTTTGATAAGTGCATTATACAGGACATACCCAAGTCTTGACAAGGCTGAATTGTGAGTCTGAATCTTCATTGCAGAGCAAGGAGGATTCTGGTTCTAGCCAGCCAGCTTCCTTAGGCAGGTGATGTATTCCTGATAATTTGCTTTAAACACCCCAGGGGAGCCTGTGGGAAGCTTGTGTGTGCTTAACCTGAACCCAAGCCCCAGAGATCTTCCCTCCAGAGAGCATTATGACAAGCACTGTAAATAACTGTCTCCTGAGTCAGGCTCAGAGGCTGGTTAATTACATAAGGAATGTGGGGTGAAGTCAATAGGATGTGCACAACCCTCTCTGCCCGCCATTGAACATCTCGAGAGGTGAGTCTGCAACACCTCTCTGGAGAATCACGTTTGGCTCTAGAACTCTTTTTTTTTTTTTCCAGAACCCCCGCCCCCAACCAAGTATTTTGCTGCTTGCTCTGGATCAGCAGGTTTAGCTGATCCTTTAATTATAACATGGGGACACCTGCCTCAGGGAGAAACTTCTGCAAAGGTTGCTGGACAGCACCTGGGGGAATGGTGAAAGGGGGGTCTCTGCTGAACTTTCAGAAATGATTTTGGGCTCTTGTGATACCTCCGTGGCACTGTCGTTCTTGAGGTGGAATTCAGTCTGAGACTTGTGCTCACTGTCATAAGACACCTAGCAGTAAGGTGGGGGGGAGGGAGACAGGTTCGTTCTAACCTCTCTGAAACTTTGCTCATTTGCAGGATGGTTGTAAGAAATGGACTAAATTATCATAATTGTTATTAATATAAGAGAGAGATTTAGTGATAATTGGGATTGAAGCCAGGGGTGCTGTACCACTGAGCTATGTCCCCAGATCTTTTTATTTTATGTTTTGAGGCAGGGTCTCACTAAATTGCCAAGACTGGCCTCAAACTGGCCATCTTACTTCAGTCTTTGAGTTGCTAGGATTATAGGGGTGTGCCTGGCTGGACTACATTATTTTTACTTCCCAGTCCCCCCCAAAATTCTAGATTGCCAGGTGCAGTGGTGAACGCCTATGATTCCACAGACTTGGAAGATTGAGGCAGGAAGATGGCAAGTTCCAGGCCAACCTTAATAACTGAGTGAGACCCTGTCTCAAAATAAAACAATAAAAAGGGCTGGAGATGTAGCTCAGTGGTAGAGCAACCCTGGGTTCAACCCCCAGTAATGAAAGAAACAAAACCCCCAAACAACATGAAAACCCCATGGGCTTTAGCTCCAGACTGCCTGGTGTCTTCATTCAATAGAAAGGAAATATCTTTATAAAATTTAATATTAATATTTAAGAGAAAGAAAGTTATACTGCAGGGAGATGAAATGAATCGTCCAGGACTACGTTGCTCCACAATGCATGCAGTTTCTACTGGAATCGCCCTCATTATAGACTGAACTGTCTGCCCTCCACACTCATTTTTTGTTTGTTTGCTTGGAGTACTGGGCGTTGAACTCTGGGCTAGGCAAGCACTTTACCACTTGGCTACACCCCCAGCCCATTCAGTTTTATTCTGAGGCAGGGTCTCACTCAGCTGCCCAGGCTGGCTTGGGGCATGCAGTCTTCCTGCCTCCTCCTCTGTCACTGTGATTACAGACCTGCACACAGGGCAGGCTCCCCACCTCCAAGTCCTTACGCGATGCCCTGACCCCCAATGTGACGGTACATCCCACCTTTCCTCTTATGTCATCATCAAAGTGCAGAAAACGGCTGTTTCTGAAATTGGTGGAAGTTCTGTCACCTCACTTCACTACCCTGCTCCACTCTTGGTTTAAAAACATGACCAAAGCTGAGTCTGTTCCAAGGGGCTTTCACCAGGCCCAGGAGTTGACACCACCATGAAATCAATAAAGAACAGAGTGCAGCCCATGCCATGGGAATGAGGTTTGCTTCAGATGAACAAAATTCTCAGAGGAGTCAAACACACTATTCCCAGATCTGTTACCAAGAAGTGTTCGTGTGTGACACATTTTCATGCATCACACAAAGCACAACGGTGTTTTTTCTGCCTCTATTCATGTAACTGTCATGCTCTCTGAGGGATTTATCCATCATCTTGTCTTCCCTGTTGCCTGGGAAGGAAATAGGAGAGCCAAGCAATTACTTTGGAACTGGTTCCTCAAGTTAAAGAATCTCTGTTCTCAAGAACACAACCATTTGGCACTGGGTGATTTCATCAATTGACCTGATAGATTTTGTTTTTCAGCACTATGTATTGAAGCCAGAGATACTCTAACACTGAGGTACACCCCCAGCCCTTTCTATTTTTTATTTTGAAGCAGGATTGCAGTAAGCTTCTGAGGCTGGCCTTGAACTTGTGATCCTCCAGCCTCAGCCTCCTAAATAGCTGGGATTATAGCCATGACCCATAATGCCCTGATTCCATTGTTTTTTGTTTCTGGTACTGGGGATTGAACTCAGGGGCACTTGACCACTGAGCCACATCCCCAGCCCTATTTTGTATTGTATTTAGAGACAGAGTCTCACTGAGTTGCTTAGCACCTTGCTTTTGCTGAGGCTGGCTTTGAACTCACGATCCTCCTACCTCAACCTACTGGAGCCACGGGATGACAGGCCTGCACCACTGCATCCAGCTCCACAGTGATCTTTCAAAACCCCAAACATAGCATAGCTGCTAGGATTGGAATCAGTCCCCCTCCCACCTTTGGTTGTATATAGACATAATGCCTTTATTTATTTAATTTTTTATGTCCTCCTGAGGATCAACCCAGTGCCTCACATGTGCTAGGCGAATGCTCTACCTTGGAGCCACAACCTCAACCCTGGAATCAGTTTTAACCTGTCACTTTCTCTTCAATTGCAGATAATTTTTAGATGGTGGAAGATATCTCTGAGAAGTGAGTATCGATCATCAAAACCTGGAGAAACAAAAGAAACTCATGAAGACTTCCTAGAGAATTCACACCTTCAAAGTAAGGAAGGGACATATTATGTACTTATTGCTGTTAAGTTCTCTATGGTTAGTGATAGATTTTTATATATTAATGGCACTGGGAATTGAAACCAAGACCTTGCACATGGTGGGCAAGTGCTCTACTGCTCTATGCCAAACCCCAGTGATAGTTTTTTTGTTTGTTTTTGTTTTTGAAATACTGGAGTTGGAACCCAGGGCTTCATTCATGTGATGCGATAGCTTTACTTCTGAGCTACATCCCCAGTCCAGTGATCGATTTTTGTCAGAGAAATATCAAATAAATCATCTTTTGAAATACTGATATACAATTAATATAGAATATTGTATTCTTAAAAAGCAGAAAATTGTTAAAATATCCTGAAATTTCTTTGGGGAAAAATCTTAAAGTTTTTAAGATTCCATATTAACATGGATTCCATTAAGGAAGTCAATTTTTTTTTTTTGCTATAGTTTTTTAAAATGGGTTTCCTAGCCTGGGGTTTTAGCTAATTTTCTCGTTGCTGTGACTAAATGACCCAACCAGCACAACTGCAGAGCAGGAAGAGTTTATTTGAAGGCTCACAGTTTCAGAGGTGAGCCTCTCAGTCCATAGAATAGGCTAGCCCCATTCCTCCAGGATCAAGATGAGGCGAACATCATGGAGGAAGTGTGTGGCAGAGGGAACCAGCTCACAAGATGATCAGAAAGCAGAGAGAGACGCCACTCTCCAGACACAAAATATATACCCCATAGCCACACCCCCAATTAACCATTCCCTCCAGCTATGCCCTAACATTTCAATTACTGTTTAATCCCTATCTGGGGATTAATTCACTGATTGTGTCAAGATTCTCACAACCCAATCAGTTTTCTTCTGAACCTTCTTGCATTGTCTCACATGAGAGCTTTTGGGGCACACCTCACATCCAAACCATAACACATACATGTATGACAATATAACAGTACATGCTTGTAATGCCAGTGATTCAGGAGGCTGAGGCAGGAGGATTGTAAGTTTTAGGCTAGCCTGAGCAATTTAGCAAGACCCTCTCTCAAAATAAAAAATAAAAAGTACTGGGGATATAGTGTAGTGGTAAAGCACCCCTGGGTTCAATTTCACATATCATAAAAATAAATTAAAATAAAATAAAATTAATTAATTAAATATAATGTAGAATGGTCCTTTAGTTAAAAATATATTAAAAGGTTATTTGAAAACTTAATGAAATTATCAAATTCTTGAACTCTTCTGTATCTTGCTGGTCATTTAAAATCTGTTTCTAAGAAAGTAGAGATTTTAAAAAATGAATAAAATGAAATTCCCATTTATTTATTTATTTTTTTCCTTTCTGACCTCAAGCATGCTGGGTAAGTGCTGTACCACTGAGCTCCACCCCAGCCCTCTGTTTCTTTTAATATCAAGATTTAAAGAGGCCTGGGGATGTAGCTCAGTGGTAGTGCGCTCATCTGGCATGCGTCCAGCCAGGGTTCGATCCTCAGCACCACATACAAACAAAGACGTTGTGTCCACCGAAAACTAAAAAATAAATATTAAAATTCTCTCTCTTAAAAAAAAAAAACAACAAAAATAAAGATTTTCTGGAGAAGTAGTTCTAATTAAGTAGAACATTAGAGTAAGTAATAGAAATTTCTTTCCAATTTCCCTTTTCCTTTTTTTCCTCCTATTAAAAGATAAACGTAGGCACATGTTAAAATTTTATCAAGTTTATTTGAGTAGACAGAAATTCATGAATTGGGTGGTGCCAAACCACAAGCAGTTTGGCCCTAACCAGGAGGGCAGAAAGGGAAAACTTTTATAAGGTGTTCATAGAGGTAAAATATGGAAAATATTTTACTAGTTTAAGTAGAAAGTCCCAGTTAGAGGTTAGTTGGTGGTTTCTGATTTGTAAATTCTCCAGTTAGACATTAGCTGGCAGTTTCTGATTGGTTGACCTCACATTTTGTTTTCCTGGGCTGTGACCCTTCATTCCCAGTTGGGTTTCAGTTTGCTTAGGTATGAATTTGGGGCACTGGAGCTATCTTAGCCTAATGGCCTCCCAGTTATTTTAACCTCCCTCAATTTGAAAGTTTCAAACATAAAAAGAAGGCAGAGTTTTTTCTTTCATGGCTTTCAAGTACCCGTAACCCAGTCTAAACAATGCACAACATGTGACCAAATAAGCTATGAATGAGCCCTGGGTTATTTTGAAGCAAATCCCAGTTGTTACATCATTTCCTCTTAAGCTGCTTCAGTATATGTTTTTATTTTTATCTATTTATATCTATCTATCTACTTATCTATCTATTGTGCTAGGGATCAAACCCGGGGGGCACTTTACCACTGAGCTACATCCCCAGGCCTCTGATTATGTTTTTAAAGTTTGAGACAGGATCTCGCTAAGTTGCTGACAGTCTTATTAAATTGCTAAAGCTGGCTGTAAACTTAGGATACTCCTGCTTCAACCTTGAGTTACTGGGATTACAGGCATGTGCCACTGTGCTTGGCTCATTATGTATCTCTAAAGGAACTCTTTTCAACTAAACTCTAATAATTTTTCCTTAATACTAAAATTCTAAAACTAGAAGTCACTCTAGAAATTCTTATTAGTCATAGTTAGCAATGGTATGAATATCAAGTACTTTGTTTGAATGTTCTCATTTTATTGTTATAATATCTCTGTAAGATAATGAGATAATGAGATTTAGAACAGATGTGACTTTTCAAGGTCTTATAGGGAAATATTGACGTCACCAAGATTAAACATGGAAAGTCAAAAAGTCAAGTATAGTAGTCAATGGTGATGGTGATGATGATGATGATGATGATCTACTGGTAGTAATAGGAGTAGAACCCAGAACCTCACACATGTTAGGCAAGCACTTTACCTCTGGACTAAATCCCCAGTCCTTTTTAAATTTTTAAATTAATTAATTAATTTGGTACCGGGGATTGAACTCAGGAACACTTAATCTCTGAGTCACATCCCAACCCTTTTAATTTTATTATTTTTTTAAAATTTTGAGACAGGGTCTTACTGAGTTGACTAGGGCCCCACTAAATTGCTAAGACTAGCTTTGAACTTGCAATCTTCCTGCCTCAGCCTCCTGAGTCACTGGGGTTACAGATGTGTACCATCATGCTCAGCTTAAAATTTTATTTTGAAACAGTGTCTTGAAATAAAAATTTGATACTGAGGATTGCACTCAGGGGTGCTTTACCACTTAACTACATTCCCAAATCCTTTTTATTTACTTGGTTTTTTATTATTTTGAGACAAGGTCTTGCTAAGTTGCTGAGGATCTCACTAAATTGCTGAGGCTGGCCTTGAACTTGTGATTCTCCTGCTTCAGCCTCTTGAGTTGCTGGGATTGTACCAATTCAGTACCATAATGGAATAGACTATTAGAAGGTGGTAAACCATGTAGGATGGGGTCTACCTGGAAGAATTAGGTCACTGGGAATCATGCTCTGGAAGGGTTTATGTCTCTCCTCTGTTTTCTGTTTGCTAAGAGGTGAGACACCTTCCCCTGCCACACCTTTCTGCCAAGATGTACTGCTCACCATAGGCCCAGAAACAGGAGCCAGCTGACATGGACTGAAATATTTGAAACCATGAGCCAAAACAAATCCTTCCTCCTTGAAGTTGATTTTCTCAAGTGTTTTTTCACAGAAATGTAAAGCTGACTAACAGAGAAAATTGGTACCAAGAAGTAAGGCTGTTGTGACTTTGCCTGACCATGTGATGTAAAAGTCTTCAGAGCTGATTTGTGGGGGCAGTTTGGAAAGGTTTGGAGATGCAGTAATAGAAGCCCTAAAATGTTGTAAGAAGAGCTTAATAGATGATTCTGGAGTGATTTCGGAAGACCAGAATGCTGATAGGAATGCAGACAGTAAAGACTGTGCTCATGAGACTTCAGATGAAAATTAGGACTTTGAAGAGAATTAGACTAGAAACCATTCATGTTACATTTTGACAAAGAACTGGTCTACATATTATCCATTTCCTGAGACTTTGTTCAAAGCTAAGTTTAAAGGTGACAGACTAATCTGGTAGAGGAAACTTCAAGGCAGCACAGCATTCAGGTAGTAACATGGATATTGCTAGCTGCTTTTAGCCAGGTTTACTGTGAGAACAAAGAGAAAAAAAAAAATCAGGGGCACTTGGCCACTGAGCCACATCCCCAGCAGATCAGAAATATTTGAAAAACTTAGCAGGATGCAGCAGCACATGCCTGCAGTCTCAGCAACTCAGAAGACTGAGGCAGAAGATTTCCAAGTTCAAAGCCAGTCTCAGCAATTTAGCAAGACCCTCAGCAACTTAGTGAAACCTTGTCTCAAAATAAAACTAGAAAATTCTGGGGATTTAGCTCAGTGTTAAAGTGCCCCTGGATTAAAGTTTCAGGAAAAAAAAAAACAACAACAAAGATTTGAAAAACTTGCAGTTTGGTCACAAAAGGAGTATGTTTAAAGTTAAGTCTAAGGAAGAGATAGTTGCTGAAGAAATTAGTGCAACTAAAAAGAAGCAAGGCTGGGCACATTGGCACACACCTGTACTCTCAGTTATTCTTTGGGTATGAGGTGGTCCCCTAAAGCTCCTATGTTAATTCGGGAGGTGAAATGATTAGATTACGAAAACCATACCTAACCAGTGGATTCATCAAAGTCTTTAGGATTTAAAATGTAAACTCATTTGAAAGACTTTGTCTCAAAAACACAACTCCAGGGCAAGCGGGTCGCCCGAGGCCACCTATGAGTTTACTTCTTCAGGATCCTGCACTGTGTTCAGCTGCCCAGGCACTCAGACACCGTGGCAGCCATGGCCCAAGTAGGCTACTTTGACATCATCCACTGGTTTTGCAGGCACAAAGAATGCAAGAGTTGCAGCTCCTGGAGGCTTCCATGAAGAGGCACAGCTCTCCTTCTCTGTACTGGAGACTGAACCCACGGTGCTGAGCTATGTCCCCAGTCTTTTTTTTTTTTTTAATTTTAGTCAGTATCTTGCTAAGTTACTAAGGGTT